AGCTCATGGCTTCACTGAGTTACGCAAGCCCCTTCGCCACGACAAGGCAGTGATCCATGAAGGGGAAAAAAAGAATAGAAAAGCTTAATATAGAGCTTACTGCTATACCTGTGCAGTGCATTGTCAGGTAATACTGAGCCACAATTGTTGAAGACTGGGATTGCTATTGAATTCCCTTATAGATTACCTTATAGGTCTGGATTTTGAATTGACAAGAGGATCTAATCCAATATCCTAAAGAGAAAAACATATCCACTTTAAAGCTTCTTACCCTTTTCAAGGAAAGATGTATAGTAACAGTAGCTGTGCATAATGTTGTAACATCTCTTGTTCTCTGCATACATATTTTCAAGGAATATGAGTAGAACTTAAAGTTAAGGAAAACACTTTAAACAGGTACAATATTTTTTTCTGAGTTTACCTTTGGATAACTATAAAATGAAATACTAATTTTGTAGGAAGCTATTTTCAGGTTTTTACCTATATTTTTCTCCCTCAGGAGCACAAAGAAGAACATTTCACATCTGTTCCTTCAGAAGTTTGCACGTCATTTGTGAAAATAATTGAAGAAGTGCTTGGATCTCCACCAGATCTGGAACTGCTGACACTGATCTTCAATTTCCTCGTAGCAGTTCACCCTGCTACCAACACATATGTTTGTCACAATCCCAGAGATTTCTATTTTTCCTTGCATATAGGTAGATGAAATATTTCATTTGATGAGTCAGAAAATAACAAATTAATTTTGCAGTGGGAGGCTTTCAGGCACTGAACAGAACTTTTCTTCCCCTCCTTCCTTTATAAAATCTAATCTGGCAAGTCTTCCAACCCTCCAAGGCATTTTTGAGGTAGAAAAGCCTCCAGGAATAGATGGATGGTGTTCCATTGAGGAAGATACTAAGAGGTTACCACTCTAAGTAGTGGAACTATTGCCAATAGTATTTTATTTTATTCCCCCATCTCAGTCATTCTATAATCTCTGCTTTGATTTATTCCTCCCAGACTTTCTCATTGTATTTATATTTAGCTCTGTTATGTTAAATGTTAGGGGTTTCTATCTTAATATATTGAATTCATTGTATTAAGAAAAAAGATATGTAATTTGAAAAAGCTAAAAGGAATGATTTAATGAAAGTGAAACATTGCTGTGTAAACTTGAAGAGTAGCTGTGACATGACATTTTATCACCAAGAATCTTTTTAATAAAAGCTCATGCTAATGTCAGTCATTTATAGCCAGCTGATGTGAGTTACAAATTCCTATAAAGAATGGCCTTCTTGTAGCCTTAATGTGACCATAAAGCTTCTTGGTGGATTATTGTGGGAGAGTACTTATGTTCATGTGAAATATTGCTGAAAAGCTGCTCATTCTCATCTTCTCAAATGCTTTTACTTGGCATTCACTCAAAAGAGCCTTGTTAGCTCTTCAGTATATAGAAGAAATTTCCAATGCTTCCTGATTAAATGGAGGAGCTGCAGCCCCCACTTATGTTTATATTGTATATTGCAGGTGGTAAATTGTTTTTGCTATTGAAATTAATAGTAAAATGCCCACAGGTGTCCTTTCACATCCTCAGGCATTTTACCATTAATTTCAAGAGCAAAAACAATGAACCACCCCACATAAGCTCTCCTTTTACAGCCTCAAAAGGCTAAGCATATTTATTAAAGTCTCAGTGAGCCCACCAGTTTATTTCTAGTGTTCTTAGGCTTGAAAATTTAAGCTTTTTACTGTGTAAACAGATATTGAGATGCAATGCTTTCCATGGCTAATATTCGTCACTGAACTCGTACTTCTGAGCAAATATGCATATGATTGCATTGCACATCTCTGGGTTGTTCCCATCTCTTAGAGCAAAGGACACATATGTTTTGTTCCTTTTTAGGATCAGTGTCAGCAGAAGTAAAGAAATGTTATATGTTTGTTCAAGAGGGCTTTGATGGGCGGCAGTGTTGACTTAGGATTATATTGACAAGTGTAGTTCATAGTCTAAGCTTTTATGTGTTTAATTTTATCTCTAAGAGTGAAATCATCTGAGGTGTTAACTCATCCTGTTTACTTTTTCTAGATGGCAACATTTTTCAAGAGAAGGTTCAATCCATCATGTATATGAGAAATTCCAGCAGTGGTGGAAAATCTGTTGACAGTCCAGTTTTGGCTATGATGAGCCCAGCTGGATTTTCTGCTATCCAACAGGGTAGGTAATCAAAATAATAATATGCGTTCCTAAAAAAACTGGAAATAATTTAATCTTTGGAACATTATCTGTATTACAGTAGTTAAAACTGAACACAGAGATTTGAAAGGAGAAATGCACATTGATCCAGGTTGTATTGGTGAAATCTATGTATTTACTCTTCCTGACTTATGTTAGGAAGTAAGTATGGAGCAGAAAGCATCTTGCAAGCGCTGTAGCTGAGATTGCAACATAGCTTTTTATAGGAGATGGCTTTAGTGTTGTCAAAAAAAGTAGTTAGGCTCTTTGTAAAGACCAGCAGCAGAAGGAGCTGGAAGTAAATTTCAAGAGGCATAGGAACTCTTGTCATCAAGTCAGAGACCTTCATTGTCTTTTATTGTCTCGGAGTATTTGCCCTTGTAAGGATTGGATTAAATTGAAAACAGGGTGATGAATGAACCATGTGGAAATACTTGTTGACAAGGAAGACTGTCAAAGTGTGCTTAGAGTTTCCCTAAAAGTGCTTTACAGATTTGGTGCAGGAACAGAATTAGTAAATGTACTGGTTTCATTACAATAATTTTTGCTATGAACCATTGGAAGAAGTGTGAAAAGTATTTGGCATATCTGTTTTCTCAGGAAATGATTCTTCTGAAGCAAGCAACTCACAAAAAACAGTTCATCGGGCACCTGAAAGGCTCTGTAAAAGCTTACCATCGTCTCCTGCATCCTCTCCCAGAATGCATCAAGGAGGTTTCTTTAGGAATATAGGCAGGAGTGTTGAGAACCTTCATGAAGTTACAGAGCCTAACAAAGTTGAGCCACTGCTGAAAAACAATTTGGTAAAGCACTCAGAAGCCTTTAAAAGGATTCAGGAAGAGCATTTCATTAGTAGCTGTGAATCTGCAAAAACAGTTGTAGGCTTGGAAGAAGTAACATCTGCTGAGACACTGGGTATTTCAAAAGAAGAGGTAGATTTGTTAGATAAAACCTCTGAAAACCATGAAACAATCCCAGGAGTGAAACCTAGCGAAGATGGTGTTATTCCTGAGTTATCTCTGAAGCGGCCTGACAATCTGAAGGGGTTGTCTCCTATACAGAAAAGCCATGGCAATTTTGCAGGCTTGGGATTAGCCTTCTCCATTCACAGTGGAGCTACCATTGCTCGCTGGCCAAGCTGTAAGAATGTGCCTTCAGAAGATTGGGAACATCTTACCTTTTCTTCAGCCAATGCATGGGCTCCACAAAAATTTGAAAGCATGTCCAGTAGGTAAGTGATGGCTGCTATGGTCTGGAACACTCTGCTCATTCATGTTATTATATTTTAGGTACCTGGTGAAGATTGTATTGGGAGTAGGGTGGTGATTTTTTTTTTTTTTTTGGTGACAGAGTCAGCATTGTCTCCTGGCAACTGCCTGAACAAGTCCCTGCAGTTTTCTTGGCAGCATTTTTGAAAGTGGTTTGCCCTTGCCTGCTTCCTAGGGCTGAGAGAGAGTGGCTGGCCCAACGTCACTCAGCTGGCTTTGTGTCTTAGGTGGGACTAGAACTCAGGGTCTCCTGGTTTCTAGCCTGGTGCCTTAACTGCTACACCAAACTGGCTCCTATTGGGAGTAGTACAGAAATATAACTTATATGTTAATAATAAAGATTTTAAAGCAAATAGAACATGAATTCTTCCTCTCTGCATAAACCAGTAAAAAATGTCCCTACCAAGTACATTTCTAGTTTTTTGCCTAGTTACAACTAAGATTGTAGTACATCATACAGTGCAACTATATTCTGTGTGATAGCTGACAGCATATACTTCAAATTGAATTTTTACTTTTGTTCAGTGAATTTTTAATTTGATTAAGTGGTACAATAATTCTGCTTAATAATGGCATCAGTGTTTAGGAGTTTACTGTGCTTCTGTTATTTAATTTTTTCTGATTGTTGATAGTAATAAAGGCTGACTGACAGACTATAGTGCAATCCTTGCCATGCCATGCTGTGTGCTATTGAAAGGTTGTGTTAGGGTAAAAATATGGAGGAAATCACTTGGTTCAGACTGTAGTATTCTTCCCATTCCCAAATCTGTTTTGTAGTTGCAGTCTCCTTTCATTATACAACAGTATAGGATATCCTAAAAATACAGGGTTTTATTTTCATCAGATCAACAGAAGATTGTCTCGTACTCATATGCCATGGTCTTTATCACCTTCTGCGAAGAATTCTTTTAATTTTGCCAGATGTCATGCTTCCAGATGTATTGGACAAGCTGATTCAGCCAGACCTTCTCATAGTTCTTGTGAACCATCCATCTACTCTCATTCAGCAAGGAGTCATTAAAGTAAGGGCCTATGTGTGAGCATGTGTATGAATGAGAGAATTGAGTAGAGAGAAAAATGTATATTTGTATTAAAATAATTAAGAAGGAAAGGATATCCCATTGAAATAGATATTAAGAACACCACTGAAGCTAATCATATATAAAAAAAGAAATATCCATCATTTATGAAATACATTGGCACAGAAAATCCTTCCTTCCTTCCTTCCTTCCTTCCTTCCTTCCTTCCTTCCTTCCTTCCTTCCTTCCTTGGTTGGTTGGTTGGTTGGTTGGTTGGTTGGTTGGACCACCTGACTCCATGATGAATTTGGGTGTCTTACAATAAAAATAATACAAAAACCATAAATGAAGCAGAAAAGAAACAAAGGATATCCAGAAGAGACAACCATCCAGCAGAACAAGAAAATCTTATGAGAGGCTTACTACCCACCCTAACCAAGGCCTGGGGAAAAGCCATGTTTCTAGCAACCTTTTAAATGAAGACAGGATAGGAACCATATGAATCTCCAAGGAAGTGCTCTTTTATGTGATACAAGGCTTAGTGATAAAGAAGGCCTGCTTCTTGGGTCCCATCAGATGAGAATGTTTGATGGGACCTACAGCATGCCAACTATGTTTGATTGAACAAGATAGGCAGAAGCTAGCTCAGATAGCCAATTCGTAAGCCATGAAAGTCTTTATAGGTGACAATCCACACTATGAATTGGATCAGCTGAAGTTTCTGAGTTGTGCAATGGCCTTCCTAGTCACAGCTGCCACTTTCTCTTCAAGCAGGAGCTGTGAGTCCAGGTTGCACACCTGTCCTGAATGAGGAAGTGCTATCTCATTCAGAACTAAAGATGGAGATTCTCTGGGATTAGGTGGCTAAATATCCATAACCACTCAGTCTTGGTAGGGTTGAGCCTGAATCTTTTCTCCTATCCTCACAGCCTTGAAACACAAGGACAAGACCTTGACAGCTTCACTAAGTTGGTCTGGGATTGAGTTATACAGCTGATGATACCTGATCCCAAAGTAACAGATAAACTTTCCTAGCAGTTTCATGTAGATTTTAAACAGGAAGGGCAAAAGCATTGAGCCTGTGGTACCCACACATCAGGGGCTAGATTTCTTCCCCCTGCCCACAGAGAAAGGAGAACCACTGCAGCACAGTGTTCCCCACTCCTAACCCTCATAGGTGATCTAGCAAGATACCACAATCTATGGTAGCACCGCCCTGTCCCAGCCCTGCCAGGAGTCATCAGAAAAGGTGATCAGTGCTGTCTCTGTACCGTACCCTGGTCTAAAACCCAACTGAAAAGGGTCTAGACAATCCATTTCCTCCAGGGCCTTCAGGAGTCACAGCCCAACCATCTTTTCAACAATTTCTCCAGAAGGGAAGGTTGGAGACTGGACAAAAATTGTCCAGAATTGTTGGGTCTGGCAAAAACCTCTTGAGGAGATATTTCTCCACTGCCTCTTTCAAGGCAGACTGAAACCTGCATCCTCCCTCAAGGACTTGACACTACTGCATGGACTTAACCACATGTTACTTCCTAGGTGGCCTTCACTAGCCAGGAGGGTCATGGATCAAATAAGCAGTTAGTCAGATTTATAGCCCCAATGACTCTGCCCACTTACTCAGGAGTGGCAGGTTCAAACTCATCCCTCACACAAGACCTTGCCTCAGTCACCTCAACAGGACTTGCCCAGCTGGAGTCCAACTCCAAGTGAATATGAGCAATTTTATCTGCCAGATAGCTAGCATATTCCTAATGAGCAGTCCTTCAGATGATGCTACAACTCATCTCTCCCTAACAGGATCAAGTCACTTTAAATGGGTGGCTGGGCAGCTATCTGTGGACACAATAAAAGTGGAAAAATAACAATGTTAATGCTGCAGTATTGTTGGAGCTGGACAAGAACAGGAAATGCAATCACTTCTTATCAGCCTTCTTAGTTACGTAAAATATTCATGTTTAAAAACTTATTACAGGCAGGGGGCTAGTTTCTGAATTACTTGAAATTAGAGGCATTTATGTAGCCAGTGATAGAAATGGAATATTAAAACTGCATGTTTCCTATCTGCTTCACTGAAACTGTTTAAAATAAGCAGAGATTGGAATATGTTATACGTTTCAATCAATGAAGCAATTTCATTCGAATTATATTACAAGTGGTCCTCGTTTAACAACTCGTTGAGCGGCTGTTCGAACTTGCAATGGCACTGAACGAGTGGTAGTTACGACCGGTCCTCAAAGTTCCAGTCATTGCAGCACCCCAGCAATCACGTGAACACAATCCATGTGCTTGGCAACTGGCCCAGGCTTCCGACCGTTGCAGTGTCCCATGGTCATGAGATCGCGATTTGTGACCTTCCCTGCTGGTTTCCCATAAGCAAAGTCAGTGGGGAAGCCAGCAGGAAGTCGGAAGTCGCAATCACATGAGGTCCTCGCTTAATGACCTACATAGTCCTTGCCATCAATAAATGGCACGGTCATGTGATATCGCGCTTTATGACCACATTGCTTAGTGACGGAAATTCCAGTCCCAATTACCATCGTTAAGCAAGGACTACCTGTATTTTGAAAAATCAGTATCAGCAGTCATGATCTGAATTACATATCTTTCCAAACACCTCTTTCTGAGGCATTTATATTCTTTTATTAGTAGAAAAATCCTTCAATCTTTTGGTGAGAGTGAATACAAACTCTACTGTTATTAATTTGTTTCTCTTACAGCAATGATCTGCTTTGTGAACTTACTCAGTTTTTAATTTTAGATTTAATTCTTCATAACTTAAATAATCTTCTTGTGTTTTGGGAGTTATATTATTTTTCATATAATAAAATAAAGCTAACCTGCAGAAAAGTTGTATTTGTTATGTGGAAATGAGATATTACCACATTGGGCTAGTTTTAGTTTGATATAAGCTGAAAAAAAAGTATGTTACTCTAATTAAAAAAACTTTTCAACATCTTCATCCACTTGTTTGCTAAAAACCAATTGAACGTAAGTTCCTGAAATTATTCTATTAATTACTTCCACACAATTACCTACTACTGCTTAAAAGTACTTGAGAGAAATTCAGTATTGCATTCAGTGGATTTGATTATTTTTTCTTATCTGGGGAAGACAATACACAATATTTTAAAAGATCAGAGTGCAAGTTAATGTGGCTATAATATAAACCTATTCAGAGTACATGATAAGCTCCCCTATAAAGTATTTTATGAAAATTAAATAATGCTTGAAAGCTTTACAAATAATGTATAATAATGATGTACTAGCCGTGGGACAATATAAATCCTGTTTGAAAATTCAGAATATGTTATGAACTCTGAATCTTTCTTTCTTTTTTCTCTAGCTTTTGAACACCTATTTCAGTAGAGCAACTAGAGAACAAAAGGAGAAGTTCTTGAAGCATCGAGGTTTCTCCTTGTTAGCTAATCAGCTGTATCTTCACCAAGGAACTCAGGAACTTATGGAATGTTTTATAGAGATGCTTTTTGGTCGATCAGTTGGCCTGGATGAAGAGTAACTACAGCTTTTTCCCCCTCTTTTGATAGATAATGCATTTTTAGCAGAAATAAAGATTGGTAAAGTGCTGTAGATATATTATCTATTAGTTTATGTCACTCAATTTCTGGAGATTCTGAATAAATTAATTATTAAAATCAATTAATAGAATTATAAACAGTCAGTGTGCCACCTTTCGAGGATAACATGGTTTTACTCATCCCCAAATGCCTTTTTGAAGTTTTTATAGGTCTCTGGTATTCAGGATGTATTGTTTGCAAAATGCCTGGATCTGTCTCTGAAATTCCATTAGAAAAAAAAAAATGCTATAAGCTGTTCTTTAAAATTCCAGTTCCCATAGTGCTTTCGAACTTTGCTTTGATTTTGCCTTCAATTTCCTCCATACAGAATTCAAACAGTATTCAATATGAAGAGATCTTCCATTCTATTCTCAGCTGCTACTTACAGAGCAAAACTTAACATGCTTTAGCATCACATCTTGGGCTTTAAATAAATAGTCAGTCCTGTGCCCTTAGCTTAGACTGCTACGTTCTCATGTTTGGATAGATAACTCTAAATACTGTTCTTCCTGGCTTACACCAAGGGAAGAATATTTGCATCTGTTAGGTATGGGGTGGGTAACATTTGTGTTTCAAAAGCTTTGTTTTTTAATTCTGTAGGGAACTTGGCTGATAACATTACTGGTACTCTCTAGTAATATTTGGCAAGGATAAGCAAAACTGTATATTCCAGTCATGGAATGTTCCATTTCTTCTGGAATGTGCTCACCTGGACAATTCAGAGGTTATGGGTTATTTTCTGGATGTGAATCTTCCAGAATTTGATGTTCTGGGCATGGTCTGGTTTCAGAGCCAGACTATGTTCAGAACACCAGGAACCATTTCTGTTGTAGAAGATTCACTTCTGGAAAATGCAAAACCACCTCTGAACCAGAGTATTTCATTACTGGAAATTTGAAGACAAATAATAATTGACTTTTAAGCATTTGGAGGGGGGAGTTCAGTTCAATTTTGACCCTGAATTTCACATATATAAACATGGAGGGTTCTGAAGTTTGCAAAAGCAGGATCAGGGAATGCATGGAGTTGTAGTCTGCAGGTTACTCACCCCTTACTATGAAACAGCAGAAGTTTAATAAGGTGTCTTCTTGTACTGGAAAAAATATAAGGCAGCAATTGTAACCTTATTCTTCATTTTTTTAAAAAATATATTTTACTCCTTTTTTTCTTTCTTTTTCTTTCCCAATGGGAAATGTCAGAAGAGGGGTAGAATATAATTCTTACTTATGTAATTATTTATTTGGTGCTATTTTGGCTTCAGTTATTGGCATTTTCCTGAGTGGGTTTGTTTCAGAGTGAATTTGTTCTTAGGGTAATTCTTTATAAGCCAAAAACATTGAGAGGTGATACTTTTCCTTGGTAGCCGCCATATTAAGAGAAAGAGAGGTAATCTTTGAGGTCTTCCAAACAATATGATAGTGTTTAGCATTCCTAGTTTTGTACACAAAAGGGAAGAAGAATCCAGCAAAATTAGGTTAGATTCTAGATAAAATTCATAGAAAATCATTAGACTATTGTGGCTTTTAAGGCACTGAAAAAAAGAAAGGGAGTTTATTATTCGCAATTGTATTATTTCAGTATTGTTCAGTGCAACATATCCAAGCCTCTGTTCACGGTCAATATATTTTATTTATTGCAAAGCTTTATTTCATTTTTATGCTAATAGCACTTTCTTTAGCATTTTCAGGCTATTAGTCATCCTACTGCCTATGATAATATAGAAGCTGAATTAAATCCTAAAACTTGCTGTGGTAGCAAAACAAGTAATTAAGAGTAATATTGTGAGTCGTGTGATTTTATTCATTGCTAAAGGTTCCATTTATCCACACAAGTTGTTATGATTGAACAGAAGTTATTATATATGAATTGATAAATTCATATTTATAGTTGTGTTTCTTAACTGTCAGTAGCAATGCTCAATATTTCTATTTTATAAATGTCAGCCTTCTTGCTGCTCTGAGTTTAAGACTGCATTATTATTGTTTTTATAGCTTTGATCTAGAAGATGTAAAGAACGCTGGACTTTTCCAAAAGTGGTGTGTAATTCCTGTTCTGGGCCTTATTGAGAATTCTCTCCATGATTGCATCCTGTTACATAACTTCTTTTGTTTCCTGCTGCAAATCATAAATTCTTGCTCTAAAATGGCAGACATGCTGCTGGATAATGGCTTGTTGTATGTGCTCTGTAATACTTTAGCAACACTTAACGGACTCGAAGCCAAGTAAGTGGCATCATTACTTTTCTTCTCTTTTAGAACAGTGAGATAATTTAGATTACTTCTGAGATTCTCATGTAAGGGTCAGGCTTCCAGGGAATGGCATGAATTGCAGGAAGAGAAATAAAGCCCTTCATGGCATAGGGTCTGGTTATTTGAGGGACTGGCTGTCTTTGGTGCATTCAGGCAGAATGGGTGCGCTCTAGGTCCCATCAATTAAATGTTGTCATTTTTTTAAATAGGAATTTTATTAAAGTTTACAATTATAACAATAAAAACTAAATACAAACTAAAAAAACTAAAAGAATAAAAGAAAAATAGAAGGTGCACAAAAGAAAGAAAAAAATAGAAAAAATAGAAAAATAGAAAAGAAAGAAAAAATAATATAGTAAAGAAAAAGAAAAGAAAGATATAAAGTGACTTTCCTTTCATCACAAGTATAAATAATTTTAGTAATTTATCACCTTCTCTTAAAATACAACAGATGATCTCTTCTTCCCATATCTTATCTATAAACAAATCCATAAATCCTTGTCATTTCAGTTCTGATGTCAGCAAAAGTCCATTAAGGGTTACCAGAGATAACAACT